GCCGGAGCCAGTGTTGAAAAGGCCCTGGCTCTGGTTGAGGCTAATCTAACTTCCTTAGAGCCCGGGACCACCAGGGTGTTGCTATTTATGGACCTTGAGGCTCTCCGTGGGGCATACCGGGAGAGGCGGTCCCGTAGGTACGCCGTGAAGGGCTTTAAAAGTCAAAACCAGCACCTTAAATCTGACCCTGACCCTGTGAGGAGCCTCGCCGCAGAATTCTGCACCCACTGGAGTTTGTGGGACAACTTCAAGGGCAGCCCCGTGTAGAGCGAATTACAGTAGTCAAGCCTGGAGGTGACCATTGCATGGAGCACTGTGGCCAGGTTGGGGCGGGAAAAGTAAGGGACCAACTTTATCCCCATTTACTGCTTGTCCTCTGTACCCTTGCGAGTTCTTCTATGAGAGGCCTGCAGAAATTAAAGCCAACCCACCAGATTTTGCAGTCCCAGGCAAAAAGCAGGGGGCGGGGGCGGGAAAGAGGTTTACCTAGCCGCTGTTGAACTGCATTTGGCTCAATGGGACACAAGTTGTGTTGGCTTGCCGCATGTGAGAGTGTAAATCCCATGTCTATATCATTCATGTAGCTCTGCGTGGGGCTACCTTTGAAGGTGACCTGGAAACTGCAACTAATCCAGACTGCGGCAGCTAGACTGGTGACTGGGAATGGCCACTGACACCATATAACACCGGTCCTGAAAGTACAGTGGCTCCCAGTTAAAGATGGGAAGGCCTGGAAAAACCCAGGTTTTTTTCCGGTTTTTTTTGGGGGGGGGATGTTGGAAAAGACCCAGGTTCCCCCCCCCATTTTTTCGGGGGTTTGTGCAGGCCTTCCCATCTCTACTCCCGGTACGTTTCCAAGCACAGTTCAAAGTTTAAAGCCCTAAACAGCCTTGGCCCAGTAGACCTGAAAGAGCGTCTCCACCCCCATTGTTCTGCCTGGACACTGAGGTCCAGCGCCGAGGGCCTTCTGGCGATTCCCTCCCTGCAAGAAGTGAGGTTACAGGGAACCAGGCAGAGGGCCTTCTCGATAGTGGCGCCTGCCCTGTGGAACGCCCTCCCAGCAGATGTCAAGTTAATAAGCAACTATTTTACTTTTAAAAGACAACTGAAGGCAGCCCTGTTTAGGGAAGTTTTTAATGTCTGATGCTGTATTGTTTTTAATATTCAGTTGGAAGCCGCCCAGAGTGGATGGGGAAACCCAGCCAGATGGGCGGAGTATAAATAATAATAATAATAATAATAATAATAATAATAATAATTTATTATTATTATTTCAGGTCTCTCTTTTTTGGTGGGGTGGCTTTGTTTTACCAAACGGTTTGGAAACAATGATGGTGAAATGGTGAAAATATTCTTTTGTTTATATAGTTACATTTTTGCGCCCATCAACTCTAATTCTGAATGCCTTCGCTATTTCTTAGTTGAGCACATGGGCAGTACTGAAACTTAGAATAAGGATGGGGAAGATTCCCTTGTTATCTTTAAAGTGCTTCAAAATACATGTGCGTTTTTGCCATTACAGGAGTCTTAAAGAGAATGGCGTGGCTCTTGGAACTGATGGGATATATTAAAAACATTTCCTTGAAGACAACATCCATACAAAATGTGGCTCCAAAAGAGGTACATTCCCAAAATATATAATTTTTTGTTTTTCATAACAGTGGGAAAATGAGTTTATTCATGATATATGCCCCTTCCTGTGGAACATGTGGAGATTTCTTCCCCTCGTAAAAGTCATCTTATTACTTTCGTAATGAAAATGTCAGATTGTTGACAAAATATATCAAAATGGTTGTTCAGAACACATGTTTAAAATTTGGAAATTGACCATCTGGCCTGCCTGAATGTAAAAACAGTGATGGAATCTCAAAAGAAAATATCACTGTAGATATACATCTACTGCAGTTTTTAAAAAAAGTTTTTTGAGCACTTATAAAGCCATCTGTGTAATTTGCTAGATTCAAATAATTCAGATGGATTGAGCTGCTTTCCTTGCTATTTCTGTGTTTTACACCAGCAGAAGCTCTTGGAGAGACGCGCAATAAAATTCCCGATTCAAAGACTGCTCTGCCGCAGCAAATCTTAGGGATACAGCTTTTGTGTGCGCTAACTTTTCTGTTTGTGCACCTAACAAAAAACTGCAAAGCAGGCCTCTCCAATGCCCATTTTACAGGTGTGCTGCTCCATGGCTGTTTAGGAGTTTGGTGGCTGAGTTGAGGTTTGAACCATGGCCAGATTCCAAAATAAAACAACAACAAGCCACTGAAATTCTTTTGAGCTTCTGAACTCAATTTTCTTTCCAAATGGCTGCCTAGGCTTTATAGCATTGCAGAGCCCGTTAGCAAAATCTGCATCTGTTTCCTGTCTAGGCGGTCAGCTTCCTGTTGTGGATCTTTGCTGCCTCCGTGGTGGCCTGGGCTGACCACTCCACGCCGCTGCTGCTTGGCCTCAGTGCCAGCTGGGAAGGGGAAGCAAGATCAGTGTTGCCTCCAAATTATTTGGGCAAGCGCCCGGCAGATAATCTGGCTGCGCAGGAGACCCTCACTCTTTTCCCAGGCAGCCTGCAGAGTCTGTTGGCTAAAGAGCCTTGGAAGGAACAAACACAAAAGGTATGTAGCTGGTGTTCTGGTTAGAGGAATTTCTATCATCAGTGGACTCGTACTGAGACTTACGTATTTCTTATTGATTGCATTAGTGTAAATGTTGTTATGAGTACTGTGCAGACGGAACATAGGCCATGTCCATGTGTCTATATTACTATTGGGTCTTTTTGTACATAGCTGTTTTGGCAATTTGTAGCCGGAGTCTTATTCAGCGCACTTAAGGTGATATTTGCATAAAATCAGCATACAAAATTATTACCTGGAACCAAACATGCCGTAAAAACAGACATTATTAAAAGCAACTCATAAATATAAATGAGAACTCTGTCAGATGCGAGCAAAATGGGATAATGAAGATGTCTCAAAAGCCATCTATGCAAACATTAAGCTCCGGAGAATGTTGGGAAAGTTTCACATTTAGTCATGGTGTTATTTCTTTGTTAAATGGACAAAGCAAGCATAAGCAATGGGGCTTAAAAACAGATCAGAAGTGTGGAGAAGGGAAATTAGCTATTTCCTTCCTTTAATATAGTTATCACTACACTAAATTTCATTGCATTATAACACCGGGGTCTGACTTCCCCTTCTATTTTCTGTGCATGTGGAGTTTCTTGCACTGATATTGCATTAAAAAGTAACCGTTCAGATAAAAATTGTGCTGTAATAAAACTGTATACCATATGTAGTAGAAATGAAGGCTTGCACGACTTTTTACGTCTGTGTTTGAGCTAATATTTCCCATAATATTTGTTATTTTCACTAATATATACACTCATATGTTCTTTTTGGTTCTTGTCTGGAGAACTACATTGCAAAATTCAGAGAAGTGCAGATCTCAAAGAATGGCTCTCTTTCAGTTTGCATATAGTTTGGCAAAGTGTGAATTCAGCAAATTTGCATTTAAACATAAACTGCAACTAATCTCTCCATCATCCTTAACTGGGGAGCAAATTGCCGCCTCTGTGCATTTATACTAAGCCATGATTTGGTTAGCATTGCATATATGAACCAGCTCAAAGCCTGAATATCTGAAGGTTAAGGATTGTGGTTAAGGATTGGCTGCAAACCAGGACTTGGATTTGATTGCAAACTGTAAGTGTTAACACCTATTTTGGAACAGACTATACTGAAGCACATTTCTCTTTCCTCGCAATGTGATAAGCAGATCTCACTGGTGGCCCTCTGGGCATGCTCTCTGGCACTTGTGTAGCTCACAAGCTCCACTGAACATTTGCAAGTTTTACCAGACTAGGACAAGGAAATGTGGTTAGTGTGCTAACTAGAGCTAAGCATTCTGTTTCCAGAAAGGCAAAAGTGTGAAGCCTCATAACATGTATTATGAGATCATCACATCTATTTTGCATCATTCCCCAGAAGTGCTTTCCACTTTTCAGGTGTAAGCTTAATGGTGGTAGTGTTTTTTTCAACCTGAACTTACTCACCAATTCTGATTTAAGGTATGCCAGTAAGTAAATCATACTAGCGTTTTAACTTTTGATTTCTTCCTAGTTCATTGACTGGCTATTTAACCTGATGGAGAGTTCAGACGAAGTGCTATCCCAGTCTTCGAGGAATCTTTTGAAAGGTATTGTTGCATTTGAGTACTTACAGCTTTTCAAATTGGATAAATACCAACATTACGTTTCAGAAGGAGGGTTACGCTGTAGACTTTTATAAACGTGCTTTGTTTAGTGATCAGTATTTGGGATGTAATTGCATGATTCACTTAAATAGCAACACACATCCCTTTCTCCCATATGTATTGATTCATCTATCAGCTTAGGTTAGAAAGGAAACTGTCTTAAAAGGAAATCTTGGCTTCAGTTTCAGTGGCAAGTTGGATGTAGTCTAGTCTAGCCCTTAGTTCCAGTACCCACAGTACCTTGATCTGGGTCTTATGTAAAGAAGTATGTAGATGCTTAGGTTTTGGCACTGGCAAATTGAATGCTTTTACGTTTTCCTTCTTCTTGTCAGCGTTCAACCTTGCCGCTGCTGCACATTGATCTGTTTAACAAATTGTACAGAGAGTCTGAATGAAATAGTTTGGGGGGGATGTTTTCACACACACACACACACACACACACACACACACACCAGCACTGTTCAACTTATACATAAAAGACATTGTCCGGTGTCTAACATCCCGAGAGTATCATGCCCCTAAACTGGCCACAAAACCCATCTCAATTCTACTATATGTAGATGACGTGCTTCTCTTATCCCTAACAAAAGTAGGCCTAAGAAGACTGATCAGAGCATTTTCAGGCTATTGCCAGAGAGAACAGCTGGCCGTGAACTACAAGAAAACCAAAGTCATGGTTTTCGCAAGAAATTATAGGCCCCACAGTTGGCGTATGGACAACCAATCGAACAGGTCAAATCAAACAGGTCAAAGTTCTCAAATATCATGGCCTTTTTTTCATTTCATTTCACGCACACACACACCAGCGTATCCTTAAAAACATAATTGTGGAGGCGCAATTGCGGGGTTGACTAATGCTGTGAATGTTCCTTATTTTCTCAGCATCTCTGCTGGCTCTGCGGTCTCTCCCAGAGTTCAGGAAGAAGGCAGTATGGACAAAGGCTTATGGCTGGTAGCCTCCTGGTGTCGTCTTCACATGTCGAGCTGTTGTCAGGATGCAAGGTTCCCAAGAGGTGTTATGTGGTTACACTAAGGTGTGTAACGTGCTTTCCGTTCCAGAAAGATTGTATCCGGATAGAAAGTTTTGACAGTGCAACAAAAGCTTCGTGATACATTTGGCTGAGAATTGTCTGTTCCAGAGAGATCGTTCCGTTACAGAAAGAGTATACTGTGCAACCCGATATCGTGATGCATTGGATGAAATTGTCTACAGCTTTGTGATAGAACTTTAAAAAGTTGCCTGGAAATCTTGCCTGTTTGGAATCCATGTCAAATACAGGGTATTTAATAAATGCAAAGCGTTTGAATCCGAGGAAAATAACTAGTTCTGTGCACCCATTTACTCGAGACTTTGTATGTATTATTCAAATGGTAGACCCCATCTGCTGTGAGTAAAGCCTTTGGGCACTCTTAAAGTAGCACGTTGGATCCTGGCTAATACAGTGGTACCTCCGGTTGCGGACGGGATCCGTTCCAGAGCTCCGGTCGGATCCCGAGGTTTCCGCAACTGGAGGGACCGTTTCTGCGCATGCGCGCGGTGCGGTAGAGCGCTTCTGCACATGCACACGGGGCGAAACATTTCTGGGTTTGCCGCTTTCGCAACCCGAAGTTTATGTTACCTGAGGGTAACATAAGCCAAGGTGCTACTGCAAATGCCTGTGTATGGATTATAGCATGTGTTGGTTGGCACCCTTCTGTCTTGGGAGACAATGGAGTGTGCCTTTAGGGGTGAAGTCAAACTACTGGAAGGTTACAGCACCTGCTGTGGATGGAGAGACTGATAAGGGAGACACATTGGGGTTTTTTTTTGGGGGGGGGTATCTGAACATATTGGAAAAGAGTATCAAAAGAGAATGGACCACCAAATCTAGAGGCCTGCCAGGCACACAGCAGAATGGAAGATGAGGAGAAGTTTACATTTTCTCCAGCCTGATTTTATTTATGAGGCTCCCATGGACTGTAGGATTAACAGTGTTTAATCAGCTCAAGTATTATCTTTTGCCCTTTTCCCAATCCTTACCTTTGACTTTTACACCACTTTGCACCCCCTGGAGCAGTTTTTAAGGGGTTCAGGGGGGAAAGCAGAAATTTCTATGGACTAGTGAGAGTTTGTTGTGCGAGTGGAACAGCAGGCATTAGATACAAGCCGTGCGGTATTATAGGTGAAATGCAAAGTCTGAATTTCACCTGTAATATCACATGCTTTGTATCTAATACTACTGTTCCACTTGTACAACAGACTTATACATCTCCAACAAAAGTACTACCCTTCTCTCTCCCCTCCCCCCCTTAAAAACTGCTCCAAGAGGTTGCAGGACCCTCTGGAACAGATTTTGGGACCACACTGGGGGAGAAGATGAATTGGACATTCTCACAGTGGAAGCAGAAGTCCTCTTGCACAAGTGACACTCCATCCATACAGCACTATGGAACATCAATATTCTCTTGGTTTTAGATATACTCACTGCTCCATTTTGCATATATAATTACAAATCTTTAAACTTCTAGGTTTCATTACATAAATGTGTTGAAAGAGACAAAAATATCCTTTTTTCACATTTAAACAAAAAATATGTTTCCAGTGGCTAGAGGTTCGTGAATGATTTAACAGGAAATTCCAATTCCGTGGGGAAAGTTAAGACAAACATTCCAAATCTTCCAAATATTTGCACCAATATATTTTGCCTGTGTTGGCTCTGGGGCAGTTTTCACTAGGATGGTAATCCAAGCCTGGCTCTTACCGCTTGCGCAAATCGGTGGCTCACATTATGCGATGTTTCTCCATTTGGAGAAGGGTGTTGAAATATTTGTGTACATAAATAACTAGTGTGTTGGGCAGAGAGGGCTAGGCTTAGTGTCCTCCTCCCTGCTACTGGGCCAGGCTTCAGAACGCAGCATCCCTGAGGACCCAGGCTGGGCTGCTGGTGATTTTTGCTCTGGGCCCCCTTTACGGTCCCCACCTTGAGGGCAAACCCTCAGAATCAGCTCTATCGCAGCTGAGTGCTCTGTGGTGCCATATCCCCCACAATCCCAATCCCAAATGTGCTTTAAAAAATCACAATTCTGCGCCAGATTCAGGGTTCTGCTGCACACACAAACACTCCTCACGCCATGTGTGTCATGGGATCTACCTATCGAGAGTGTGTGTTGCCGTCTTTAAACCAAAGTTATCCAAATTACTGTCTCATGGTACTGTCTCGTTTTAAAGTCATGGTCTACTGCGCTTAGTTTCACGAAGGGCATTTACCACCAGGCTTCCTCAAGCCACTTCCCTCACTCCTTAAGGAAAAGGTAAGCTAGCTTCTTTTGGCCTTGATGGTCCAGCTTCCCAGTTGAGCCTTCCGTTCCATGTAGAGGCATCGGACAAGGAGGTACGCACCTAAATTCAAACCAGAACAGGCTCTGAGTGCAAGAAGGTAGAAACCAATAAGGAGAATGCAACGACATCTTGTTCTTATGAAGCCCATTCAGGTCCCTCTATGATACAATAATCTTTATTGTCATTGTCCCATACAGAACAACAAAATTGAAAAAATCTGCATCAGACATTCAGAAACCAACAAGCCTGCCATCCCAGCTATCCCAGCCTGGATAACCCCCTAAAAACTCTGATACCCCATAATGGAATACAGTATAATCAATCCCATAGAGACTACCTTAAAGGTAAAGGTACCCCTGCTCGTACGGGCCAGTCATGTCCGACTCTAGGGTTGTGTGCCCATCTCACTTAAGAGGCCAGGGGCCAGCGCTGCCCGGAGACACGTGCTCTGGCGAGCCAGCACCAGCACAGCACACGGAAATGCCGTTTACCTTCCCGCTATGAAGCGGTACCTATTTATCTACTTGCACTTAGGGGTGCTTTTGAACTGCTAGGTGGGCAGGAGCTGGGACCGAAAGACGGGAGCTCACCCTGCCGCGGGGATTCGAACCGCCGACCATGCGATCGGCAAGTCCTAGGCACTGAGGTTTTACCCACAGCGCCACCCGCGTCCCAGAGACTACCTTACACTGCATTTAAAACCAATATCGCATTTTGATAGAAACTGTTTCTCAGGCGGCTCGTCCTAGTCTAGGAATTTTCCAAGCCCTTTCCCCCTCAAAACATGGGCTAGAGTTGTAGTTATATTGTGAGCTTTCCTGAGACCTGCGGGCATAGGATGGTATACAAACTTAATACATTTAGTAAATAATAGTAATACAGTGGTACCTTGGTTCTCGAACTTAATCCATTCTGGGAGTCCATTCAACTCCTAAAACCATTCGAAAACCAAAGCGCAGCTTCTGATTGGCTGCAGGAGCTTCCTGCACTCAAATTGGAAGCTGTGCCGGACGTCCAGCTTCCCAAAAACGTTTGCAAACCGTAACACTTCTGGGTTTTGCGGCATTTGGGAGCCATTTTGTTTGACAACTAAGCTGTTTGGGAACCAAGGTACAGTCATACCTCATGTTAACGTTTGCTTCAGGTTGAGTGTTTTCAGGTTGCGTCCCGCAGCGACCTGGAAGTAACGGAACGGGTTACTTCCAGGTTTCGCCGCTCGCGCCTGCGCAGACGCGCAAAATGACGTCATGCACAGAAGCTGTGAATCGCAACCCGCGCAGACGCCGGTTGCGTTCTGTTCAGGTTGCGAACGGGCCTCCGGAACGGATCCCGTTCACTGTACCACTGTACAGTGATACCACTGTACCACTGCAATAATAATACCACTATACCACTGTAATAATAATAATAACAGAGATGCCCAGATATGGTTGTTACATTATGTAGCCCCAGTTCTTCACTTGTGGAAGACTATTCTTTTGATTCTTTTGAGCGGTGCTCGCTTCTTTCACCCCATGGAGCCTTGCCATTGTCCTGTGGCCGTCGCCACTCTCTCCTGGCCATCGCAGAGCATCACGGGCACTGCCAACCATGCGGTTTGGATTGACCAATCCATGGCAGCGTGGGGGGCGGAGCTAGGGGGAGTGGACCTGAGGGATGCAGTCTTCCCTCAGGTCCACTCCCAAACAAGAAAAGCGGGCTGCTCTCAGCAGCAAAGTTGGCCCAAGAAACAGAAGAGGTATGTATATATATATATATACAAACAGCTCCCAATTCAGTCCCTACTGAGAGACTTGGGCTACAATACCCCAGGCTTGCCAAGCTCAGTTTTTTTGTGTGTTGCCAAGAAACTAAAAACTTACCTCCAAACAACATCGCCATGTATATTTTTAGTACATAGGGAAAGTAGACGGGTATATCGAATGGTAAGGGCAGCTGGGTTGAGTAAGTGCCGTAGGTTTCAAAGTGAGGTAGTGATACATATATCGCAAACTCTGGAGAGGGGGAGGGGAAATAGATAAAAAATTGATTTAGTGGCTTGTAAGTGAAAAATCTCCAAAAGAGCAAAATTAAAGGTCTTAGGCCTTCCTTTATGATAAAAAGCTATAATGGATAACTTAATGCAACACAAAACCATCTATAATTATCGCAGGCGAGGTTCCTTCTGCTCCATGTCAAGCACAATGGACAGGCAGGTTTTCAACTGCATATAAAAGTTCATTTTTAGCAGGGCAGATACTCTGTACTTTGGATGGAGTGTAATGTAGTCACCAGAAAGGGTTAGTGCTTGAAATGCATAATAAATTATTATTATTATTATTATTATTATTATTATTATATTATATACCGCCCTATACCTGAAGGTCTGAGGGTGGTTCACATTAAAAGGATCACAGTATATAAAATAAAAACAATAACAATAACCCAATAATACACCCCCCCCCAAAAAAGAGCCACATTTTAAAAGGGTGTGGGAAGTTGATCAGGTCAACCAAAGGCCTGGTTAAAAGAGAACATTTTTGCCTGGCACCTGAAGGTGTGCAATGAAGGCGCCAGGCGAACTTCCCTGGGGAGAGCATTGCACAGACAGGGAGCCACCGCAGAGAAGGCCCTGCTCTTGTGTTGTCATCCTCTGGACCTCTCGATAGAGCATTAATCTGTAGCTATGACAGCACAATAAATCAAAGCCTCCATTTAGCCCAAGCTCCCTGAAATAGGAGCATAGCAAACTGTCTTCTACTGAGTCAGACCAATGGCAGCAGCTGTCCAAGGTTTCAGGATGCTGGATGTTGAAAGTGGGAGAGAGCAGATTTTTATAGTCTTTCAAAACCCATTTGAAAGTTGGAGGAAAGTTGGTGATAGTTGGGAGGCAAAGAATGGCCCACAGTCCATGGTGGGAAGGGTTTCATGTTTGTCACAGATGTGCTCTATGGAAAATTTAGATATTTGAAATTCTGTCAAGATTTTTTTATTTTAAAAAAATTATTCAGTTTTCCATTTCCCCCGATATTACATCATAATTATTATTATTCACAATTTCACAATTTCCCCATTCCCCCCGGACTTCCCTCAATCTCCTTCTCTGGTTTATTTCACCATAATATTATTCTTGCATATTGCCTTTCCCCCTCCTTTTTTATATTTTAACTTATAAATTATATAACTTTTGCTAATTAACAGAGAGACTTCGAAATAAGGACAAAAAATCCTTCAAGAGAGACTGGGAACCATTTTCGGTCTGCATGCAGAATCAATGCAAAGACTTGAACTCATTAGCAGGTTTTGAATAATCACAGTTCTGCCAAGATTTTTTAATGTTTAGTACACAATTAACTATTCTGAATGAAACTTTGATGGTGTTCCATCTCCTTGCAGCAGACTGTGTCTGTTCAGATATTGCCGAATTGCTGCTCCCATTTTCCCCAGCCATTGCTCATCCCGATTGGGGCTTGTGAACATTGGCTTGGAGACTGCATCACAAAGGATGAGAGCAAATTTTGAAAGATAGCTCTGTTGCAATTTGCATCTTGCATTTGCAGCATTGCAAAGTGAAATATACTCAGAGTCGAGAGTGGATTTCATGCTTTTTATTCAGCTCATAGTGGTGAGGAGGACTGAAAGTCCCCTCAAAGTATCTGCTTTATATACATTATTTGCACAATGGGCTGCACGTGATTGGCTAATTCCGGAATTCTCCTGTAGGCCAATCAGGTTGTGGATTCACTTCCATCTGGAGCCGGATTGGGTGGCTCTTGCAGACCAATCATACTACTGCATTGTTCTCGGACCAGTCAGACTGCTGCATTCTGAATCCTATTGTTCTAGGACCAATCAGACTGCTGCATTTTGGATCCTATTCAACTCTACATAACACAAAGGGTCTGCTTTAAATGTGTGTTGAATTGAATTTTTCCTCCACCTCTACTCAAAAGTAAGCCCTTTTGGATTCAGTGGGCATTACTCCTGAGCAAGTATGCTTAGGGTGGTAGCCTTAGAAATCAGGCAGGCTTCTTCACATGCCCTCCCTCTGCCGTTACCTTCAGCCAAAACCGACAGAGGATACAAAGGAATCCATAGCGTATAATGGAGCCACGTCAATTCTCGAAAGTATGTTCCTGTTACTGCCAGCATACAGTAAGTATATCTAGAATAAAAAGCAGGTGAAAAGAGGGTGAGCCACGTTCTGATTTTTCACTGCTGAAGATGCTGAATAGCTGAAATCTCCTTTTAGTAACCAAACAATTAAACCCCTGTGTTGCAAACAGTTATCAGTAATATCCAAGGCAACATGATGACCAAGTACAACAATGCGATGTCAATATGAGCTCTTTATATAATCTATACAGAACATTGAACAGTATGAAATATATGAAATATTCACTCTCTGCAAAACCAAATAAACAGAAATCTTATAAATCTCTGAAAGTCACAAAATATGCACTCTTGATGGATTCCCTTGAAAACATAGAAGCATACTTATGTTTATTTGGTTCTATGTTTTCAAGAGAATCCATCAAGAGTGCATATTTTGTGACTTTCAGAGATTTATAAGAAGTCTCCTTTTAAGCAGCAACTTGACTGCTGTGATAGCTCAGTTGGTAGAACTTCAAAGGTATCATTTCACCAATCCTGATCCCCAAAATGTGAGGAAGATGGGAAGCCAAAGAATAAGGGGAGCCATTGTTGTGGTGCCTTTGAGATGTTACTGGACTCTATCTCCACAGCCAGTGTTTATTGGGACTTCACAGAGACACAGTGTTGCTCTTTTGTATTGCTGCTTTGTTTGCAAGATAAATCACACAACCCCAACCCAACTTGCATGGGTTCAATAAGACTTACATCTGAGTGAGGCTGCGCAGTTAGCCATCTGAAAACTCCTTACATTAATTTTTTTCAAAAAATTTAACAAATAAACAATTCTACAACATTTCAAATTTGACAATTAGTCACTCCACCTACGACTTCCCCTCCCTGATTCCCTCAAAAATTCAATTTACGCTGCATATTATTCTATACCTTCACCTTATCACAAAAGAAAAACAAAAAGTTCACCCCCAGTGCTGTTCTTACTCAAATCCTATTTGTCTTTTAACATATTTACATTGAGTTTTTACATCTCCTACAGACATTTTCCAATCTCCTTTAAAATCAGTCTCTTTCTGATCTCTAATTTTACACGTCAAACTTGCCAATGCTACATATTCTGTCCATTTCAGCTGCCATTAAATGACCCACAAGCTCTGGAGCTTCTGAAATGATCTTGTCCTCTCTCCCAGTAGGAAATAGGCAGACAGGCAATGTCTAAACTTGATTGTCCACATAAAAGATAACCACTCGAATCTCTAAGGGCTGCTGTGTTTGGAAGGCAAGAGCACCCAACTCTTTTCTCAAGAGTTCTATGTTGCTTGGATTTACTAGGTAGTTGACGTTGTTTCCCTGTGCTTGCTTTATCTCTGTTGCCTCAGGTAAATAGCAGGAATCTTGAAAAACCAGTTTGCTCACATTTTTTCCTCTTCTGACAGAACTGTGCCCCATTCTCTCAGTGCAGCCTAAAGCTGTGGCTTTCAGCTTTATCAGACCTGGGACCCACCTTTATCCCAAACAAGAATATGCAGACCAATTTCTTAGTCTTCTTACCATATATACACGTCTGGTGATAAAGTTGTTCTTGCAACCTGCCTTAGATCAGGCCACGATCTGGAAACGCCGTTTACCTTCCCACCGGAGTGGTACCTATTTATCTACTTGCACTTTGACGTGCTTTCAAACTGCTAGGTTGGCAGGAGCAGGGACCGAGCAACAGGAGCTCACCCCGTCGCGGGGATTTGAACCACCGACCTTCTGATTGGCAAATCCTAGGCTCTGTGGTATAACCCACAGCGCCACCTATGTCCCTTGGGGGACCCAAACAATGGCCCAAAGCAACCAATTTAATCCACACAGTTTCTGGGTATCTCTCTGTTTCTAAAAATCTAGGAAAATACACAATTTGTAGACTGCAGCTAGCAGCAAGGCCAAAGCGATAAGTAATGCTGGGAGTAAGTGAGGGAGTGCCCACGCTTTGTCCTTTTTCTAGTCTTCCTAGGATTTGCTTTTGCAGGAGAAGCAGACCAGATAATGAAACTTAATTGCCTGCCGAATGTAGATATGGAAGGCCGAAAGAAAAACCATTTGGTTTACTTTGGAGGGACGTGCATGTCTGTGTTCTTACCTGACCACATCAAGGAAACTCCAGAGGAAGAATAAGATGCACACAACACATTTTCCTTGAATTTCTTCTTGACTGACAATCACAACAAATAAGATGATGATTCTTTCTGCGATCTGGAAATGCGGGAAGAGCAGAGGATAAGGTGATGGATTGGGTTCTTCTTCAGCAGCTGTAGCCTCTGGTTTGTGCGACGGGAAAGGTACGTGTGAGATTCTGGGTGCTTCCGGATGGCTGGTATTTTGGGATGGGACTCAAGCACATACTGGCGAAACCCATTTCCTTGAGAGATTCAACTTTTTGCGACAGGGACGAGGGCAGCAAAATGCCCTGGAAAGCGTGAGGTGACACTTGGCTCAACACGATGCCATCTAACCTCCCCACAAACAAATCAGGAGAAATAGCTCATTAAATAGCACCATCTAATCTCCCCGTAAATAAAAATTAGGTTGAATGCTCAATAAACAGGTCATCTAGAAGCAGCCTGTTTTAAATGAAGGAGGAAAACAGCTCGCATGGCAGCAGCCATGTTGCAGAAAGAATCAAGGCGATAGAAGCATTTCGTACAGATGCCCCCACACAGACAGTCACACATTCTGTGTTTTACGGCTGCGTTCTGTGGTCCTGCCTCTCCTACCTTATTCGCCACCCAGTATTTTATGCAAAAGCCTCTCTTTGTAACCACCTCTTTCCATATCAACCTACCCGGACCCTGAGATCATCTTCTGAGGTCCTTCTTTGTGTGCCTTTTCCATGTGAGGTACGGAGGGTGGCAACCCGAGAGCAGGGCCTTCTCTGCAGTGGCTCCCCATCTGTGGAATGCTCTCCCCAGGGAAGTTCGCCTGGCGCCTTCATTACACACCTTTAGGCACCAGGCAGAAATGTTCCTTTTTAACCAAGGCTTTGGTTGATTTGATTGACATCCTATGCCCTTTTTAAAAAATTTTGGGGGGTGACTATTGGGTTGTTGTTTTTATTATTATTAGGTATCTTGTGGTTTTACATCTTGATTTTATTCTGTGAACCGCCCTGAGACTCCCAGGTATAGGGTGGTATATAAATTCAAGAAACAACAACTGTTGCCCTTGGCCACTGGATTTGCATGCTCAGCAGACTCTTGCGATACCATTGGAATTAATTTTATTTTGCATCCTTAAAGGTAAAGGTAAAGGGACCCCTGACCATTAGGTCCAGTCGCAGACGACTCTGGGGTTGCGGTGCTCATCTCGCTTTATTGGCAGAGGGAGCCGGCGTACAGCTTCCAGGTCATGTGGCCAGCATGACTAAGCTGCTTCTGGCGAACCAGAGCAGTGCATGGAAACGCCGTTTACCTTCCCGCCAGAGTGGTACCTATTTATCTACTTGCACTTTGACGTGCTTTTGAACTGCTAGGTGGGCAGGAGCAGGGACCAAGCAACGGGAGCTCACCCCGTCGCGGGGATTCAAACCGCCGACCTTCTGATCGGCAAGTCCTAGGCTCTGTGGTTTAACCCACAGTGCCACCCGTGTCCCTCCTTATATACCCATCCTTATATACCACTTATTATCAAAACAGTCCATAAGCAGGGTAGAAGAAATAGCCAGAATACTTCCCCCCGCTGGCAACATATTATTCTATACGATGGAGCTAAAAGAATGTGCTGCCAGATGAAACAATAACCAATGTCCAGGGAAATGATTTGTCAGCCTGGCCATCCAGTACTTGCAAGGTGGGAGGAGGACTGGAGAGATGTTGTCATCTGCTGCCATCTGGACCCCACCCACTGCCATCTGCAATGACTTCTACCCGCCACCCCCTGAGTAAAAGCACCATCTGCTTCCTCTTGCCAAGGCACATCCTGATTCATGACATGCAACACTTACCCGACAACTTGTATACATCACACCTCATTTAGCCTGCCCTCTATTCCCGAACTATTCCAATTTCTCCCATTCAAATCATTTACACTATGTAAAGACCAACCCTGCGCTGCCCATTACTCATCCAATGTCACCCGTTCCTCTCTGCACCCACACTTCTCACGTGCCCTCAATACTTGCAACGCACCATCTACCCGATCTCTCTGACGTTTCCCTCTCAAGCACCAAACCAATTGCTGTGTCTTCCCTGCTAACATGTGCCAGGTAACACACACACAAACCATGCAGTAACCTGGATCTTGCCGAAGTTGCTTTCTTCTACCCAGGACTCTCAGCCAATTGAATTAGGGCCTAGCTACATATGATGTAGCTACATATGATGTAGGGAGGTGGGTGGCGCTGTGGGTTAAACCACAGACCTAGGACTTGCCGATCAGAAGGTCGGCAGTTCGAATCCCCGCGACGGGGTGAGCTCCCGTTGCTTGGTCCCTGCTCCTGCCAACCTAGCAGTTTGAAAGCACACCAGTGCAAGTAGAAAATAGGTACCGCTCTGGCGGGAAGGTAAATGGCATTTACATGCCCTGCTCTGGTTCGCCGGAAGTGGCTTAGTCATGCTGGCCACATGACCCGGAAGCTGTACGCCGGCTCCCTCGGCCAATAAAGCGAGATGAGCACCGCAACCCCAGAGTCGGTCACGACTGGACCTAATATTGATCAGGGGTCCCTTTACCTTTACATATGATGTTAATTTGGTGAATGAAATGGATGCATTTCATTTTATAAATTGCAGGTACAATGGGGGGGGGGGGTTTCAGAATCATGACCAAAGCATGTGAAAGGAGGGTTGCAGATCTTTCCTGTTCCAGTGAAAACTTCCCAGCATCATTTTGAAGCTCTTATTAGCCCTGAGCAGAAAGGTCCCATCAGCTTGGGGGAGGGGGGTCTTGCTATTTTCACCCTCCCTCACACAAAAAAAGGAAGTTGCGTATCTCGCAGCACTTTTGCTATTTCAGATCCTCTAGAATTCAGCTGTAATTTTAGTAAACCACACTGGCCGTAACCACAAAACTATTAGATATACTAAAATGAAAAAATAAATGGATATGTCAGTTTATCCTTTTTTTGCTGGAAGGCAGGATTTCCTTTGTCAAATGACTTTGCTAGATGGAAAGAAATGCAAACCACTTCCTGAAGATAAAAGGTTCTGGTCACGGAAAACGGATCAGCTTCTTAGCTTGCAGGACTTTCTGCAAACTTTCAACACATTAACAGCTGCCTGAAAGCGGGTGGGGACAGAGAGTGTGGTTGCAGCTGAAGAAAGTAGGCTTGAAACATGCATTTGGAGAACCCGCATTTCCCCTGAGAGATGACCCGGGAGGAGTCTCCTCAACAAACCGCATAGTCTCAGCTTAACCTTCCTCATGAGGAGAAAATGAAGCAAGGATTAATTGCAACTTGATAGTGATGTGTGCTGGGCTGAGCTATATATGGCCGCCGAGACCATATAACACTGGTCCTGAAAGACCTTCATTGGCTCCCAGTATGTTTCCAAGCACAATTCAAAGTGTTGGTGCTGACCTTTAAAGCCCTAAATGGCCTTGGTCCAGTAGACGTGAAGGAGCATCTCCACCCCCATCATTCTGCCCTGACACTGAGGTCCAGCGCCGAGGGCCTTCTGGCGGTACCCTCACTGCGAGAAGTGAGGTTACAGAGAACCAGGCAGAGGGCCTCCTCAGTGGTGGTGCCCGCCTTGTGGAACGCTCTCCCATCAGATGTCAAGGAAATAAACAATTATCTGACTTTTAGAAGACATCTGAAGGCAGCCCTGTACAGGGAAGTTTTTAATGTTTGATGTTTTATTGTGTTTTTAATATTCTATTGGGAGTCGCCCAGAGTGGCTGGTGAAACGCAGCCAGATGGGCGAGGCATAAATATTATTATTATTATTATTATTATTAATTTCTAGAAAAAGAGGTGCCAGAACAAACCCTGAACGCCTCCCTTGTTCTCTTATAATGGCAGTGGTGCCCACCTGAGAGGGGTTGGTGGTCTGGTGAGTTCCAGGTGGAAAAAACGCCCTGGTGCTAGGGACTAAGATATGGTTACCAGATTTTTTTCAATGAATCCGGGGACACTTTAAAAAATAATAATCATGCTGTAGTTGTTGACCTTTTTAAAGAAAAGGGTTGTCCAGAGTTCTTGACCTTTTTTTAGGGGGGGAGGACTCCAAAGTTGTCACCATTCTACCACTCAATGTATAAAAACTGAAGCCAGTTTTTTAGTTCTGACACTTTAGCTTGGCCAGAAAAAAAACAGAACAGAGGGTAGACCTTATGCAGAACACGAGTACAATTAGTTTTCCATGGCTCCCCAACTGCTATGGGACAGTGTACAGTGTTGGCAATCTGGGCCCTGGTTGAAAGGGAGAAAAACTTGACCCTCACCCTGGGCACTGGGAGTAGAGGACAACTTAAGCCTCCATCCCAATGCTAGATCACCAAGTGTTAGGCTATCAACCACTTAAGAGCATTGTGCAGCCACTGCTACTTGAAGGTAGCCAGAAAGGCTAGAAGGGCATGACATGGAACCTACTGAACATACATAGTGCAGATTCTGTAGTTGGAGAGCGAATACCAGCACCTAGGGTGCACAGGCGGGACACAATCCAGTGATGCTGTCTACCTGTGCCACTTAGGGCTAGGAGTAGGCTAGTACTTTCTGCTAATATTTCCAGTGGCATTGCAGCCTCTCTTGACGTTTTGGGACTGCATGGATGAAGAAAAATGACTAAAGAAAGTTGACAATGTGGAGCCAAGGTGTGATGGCCTGGGATTCGGACTCGGAGGCTGAACCTGAGGAATCCCAGCCTGCACAGGATTCCCTGCCTCCAGAACCAGCTGAGCCGGGGCTGGGGCTTGAGCCTGAAGGGTCCTCACCTGTGCTGGATCCTCAGGTGCAGGCATCAGCTGAGTCTGCGCTGGCTCCTGGGGTGATGGAGGACCCATTGCCTGCAGGTGCTCCACTCTCAGACATGTCAGGGGAAGCTGAGGTTGCCTCTGGGTCTGGTAACCCTCCAGCCTCTCCTAAGCTGCAGAGGCTCAGGGCAGAGAGGCGGAGGGAACTAAGTTCCCGCAGGAGGAGCGCTCGCCTCCAAGCCAGGAGAGGCGAGTCACCTGTGGACCGGGGCCGCCCTATGCTTCGGGTCAGATAAAAGCCAGCCAGCCCCAGTCCCAGGTTGCGGGAGCAATGTTGTTGGTAGCCTGTTCCTGCCTACACCCTATCCTGCTCTTCTGCCAGAGTTCCTGACCTCACCCGACTCCCTGCCTTGGACCCAGCTTCAGCTTTGACGGACTGCCTCCCTACTGCACCCTTGACCTCAGACTGGACTCGGACCTCGCCTCACGGTTAACCCTCGGGACCAGCACACAAGGGGTGCGATGTCTTAACCCTTGATGTCTTCACCTTAACTTTGAGAGGCCCCCACTGGTGAGGGTGGTGGCCTTCGTCTTCCTGGAAAGGTTCACACAACATTCTCTGTTTCTGTATCTCTCTTTACTGTATGATTTATGGACTTAGGAACACAGGAATCTAACTTAACATGGACTCAATCACTTCATCTCAGTATTGTCTGCACTGAGCGGAAGCTGCTCTCCAGGGTTCAAGACAGGAATGTGTCCCTGGTCTATGTCAGGACTTGAGGCCTTCTGCATGCAAGACCTGTGTTTTACCACAGTTCTTCCTGGGGCATGAGCTCCCAAATCATGGGCCCTGGTCATCCAATGCTATTCTAGGTTACATCAACAGAAGAATAGAATCCAGATCAAGGGAAGTAATGGTGCCACTCTATTCTGCTTTGGTCAGACCACACCTGGAATGAGACTGAGAAAAGATGTTGATAGCCATCTTCAAATAGCTCAAGGGCTGTTGTATGGAAGATGGAGAAAGTTTGTTTTCTCCTGCTCTGGAGGGTAGGACTCGTACCAATGACTTCAAGATACAAGAAAGGAGACTAAACACCAGGAAAAACTTTCTGACAGGAAGAGCCATTTGACAGTGGAACAGTCTCCCACGGGAGGTGGTGGACTCTCCCTCCTTGGAGGTTTCTAAGCAGAGGTTGGATGGCCATCTGCCATGGATGCTTGAGCTGAGATTCCTGCATTGCAGGGGGTTCGACTAGATGACCCTCGGGGTCCCTTCTAACTCTAAAATTCTATGATTCTATCTCAAGTGCTTTGAAAACAGAAAACAGACATCATACCCTTTGCTATATTGTGGTTAGAGTGGCAAAAGAATTGGGGGCAGGAGGTCCCCACTCCATATTCTGAATTATGGTTTGGGCCTGTACAAATTACAGGCTGAAATTAATAATAATAATAATAATAATAATAATAATAATAATAATAATTTTTTTTTTTTATTTTTTTCCCACCCTCCCCAGCCAAGACCAGGCTCAGGGCGGCTAACACCAGGTATAAAAACAATTGATTAAAATACAACTTAAAAGCAAGATTAAAATACAACATTAAGATGCAGCCTCATTTCAGTAGAAACTCAAATCAAAAACTTTTTGGGGATGAAAACGTCAAATCTTCACCAAGGCCAACTATCCAGGCTGGTCCTACTTGGGTCAGAAAAAAGCCAGGGAAGTCCCCAAATAAGACTTCCATCACAGAAGGAGAAAGGAAAGAGGGAAAGGGGGTCAAGTTGATTCCAAGCCAAAGGCCAGGCGGAACAACTCTGTCTTACAGAAATGAGGCGCAAGATGAGTCCTGAGAGCAAAACCCTCAACCAATAGGGCTGTGTACACATTTCTATTTACTCTTGCTCCAGCACACTCCCACCAGCATGTTTGGCATTTGTGTACACATGGCTTTACCAACAATGCAGAGCTATCCTGTAGTTTCAATTCAAAAGGAAAACTTACGCCATGTTGACTCCGCAGTTAAGCGGAGGTGTATAAAGCTGAGACAGCCATTGCACATCTATGGATGACAGCTTCATGAATAGGAGCTTTTTGGGGTGGAGGGTGGAGGGTTGCAGGAGTGCAGAAAGCAAAAAGGCATTCCTGCCATTTGTTTGGTGTGTACAAAAACCTGTACATGCAACTTAAAACACAGCAGGGGAAAAGAACCTCACTGCATTTTAGGATGCAAATGTTCACATAGCCTAGAACAACGAGATTTTTGCTTAAGTAATGAAAGGATGTGGTCTCTAAAGTTTTCCTCTGCTTTACTCTTGGGTCAAAAATAAATTTAAGTCTGAAAACCCATGCCCTCGCTTCCGAAAGCAGAAATTGAAAGCCTGTGCAGTCATTTTACAAAATGTAAACAAGGAGGTTTTATTTTTCATTCGTGTTCTCTGGAATTTCCTCCTCCTCTCCCCGCTCCCTCTAACTTGACAGCAGCTCAGTTTCTGTGAAATAACACAAGTTAAATCCATAGAAGACCAAAAAAAGTGCATTGCCAAATCACAGCTTCTCTAGGAGATCACAGATGTGTGCCCCATGTTCTGCTCCAGACGGCAAAGAATTCTTTCCCTTGCTCCCCGAAGATGAAAAATGAAACCCAGACACAGTGTAATCCACAAATGACATTTTTTTAAAGGGGGTAAGATATAAACAAAGCAGGAAATGTATGACACACAGCCTTTCTTGTAGGGAGAGAAGGGGCCTTTCCAGAATCAGATCATGGAAAATCAAGGCCAGCCCAATAAATTTTGGTGCCTGAGGCAGAGAGTCCAAATAGTTCTTGGGTGGCTTTAAAAGAGGATTAAACAAATTTGGGAAGAATGTGGCTATCAGTGGCTGCTAGCCTTGATGGCTGTGTTCCACCTTCACTGTTGAAGGCAATGTGCGTCTACATGCCATTTCCTAGAAATTACAAGTGGTGAGGATGCTGCTGCTTGTGAATTTCAAAGAATCATAGAGTTGGAAGGGACCATGGTAAAAGGTAAAGGACCCCTGGATGGTTATGTCCAGTCAAAGGCGGCTATGGGGTTGCGGCGCTCATCTCGCTTTCAGGCCAAGGGAGCCGGTGTTTCTCCACAGACAGCTTTCCAGGTCATGTGGCCAGCAGGACTAAACCACTTCTGGTGCAACGGGACACCATGACAGAAACCAGAGCGCATGGAAATGCCATTTACCTTCCTGCTGCAGCGGTACCTATTTATCTACTTGCACTGGTGTGCTTTCGAACTGCTAGGTTGGCAGGAGCTGGAACAGAGCAACAGGAGCTCACCCTGTTGCAGGGATTCGAACTGCTGACCTTCTGATCAGCAAGCCCAAGAGGCTCATTGGTTTAGACCACAGCGCCACTTGCATCCTAAAGGGGCCATGAGGATCATCTAGCCCTATGCTCTGCAATGCAGGAACCATCTGGTTGGTAACTGTAAGAACAGCCTGCTGCAATAGATGACTCAATGTGTTCCTTCCTAGGAATGCTGAAAAACCCATACGGCCTTCATGACCTCATATTATCTCTAAGAACAGTATTTTCTCCTCCAGGTTCAGCAAAAGCAGACTTGCTCTTATTGCAGGGGGAAAGAGATTTTCTGATCCACCCCTTTCTTTCTTTACCCTCCCATACTCTTAGCAGCCTTCCCCAACAGAGTGCCCTTGAGGTGCTTTGATCTACAACTCCCATAAGGCAGCACAGCCATCCTGACCGGGGCTCACGGGAGTTGTAGTTTCAGATCTCCGGAGGGCACCAGGTTAGCAAAGGCTGCTCTGAGCATCTTTATCTACTTGGCTTCAACCAAGACAACAGGACACAACCCACACTAGGACACTGGGTACAAGAAATATTAATATTAATAATAATAATAATAATAATAATAATAATAATAATATCATCATCATCATCATCTAGGGCAGCTGTTCTCAACCTGTGGGTCCCCAGATGTTGTTGGACTACAACTCCCATCATCTCTGAGCTAGCTAGGGGTGATGGGAGTTGTAGTTCAACAACATCTGGGGACCCACAGGTTGAGAAAGGCTGATCTAGAGGAAGGCACTGGGTGGAGAGGCTGCACCAGATTCTGCTGCATCCTGAAATGAATCGGGCCACTTTGAGGGGGATACAGGCTTGGGCAGATTGGATCAAGATAGACCTGGTGTGACTGCAGGTTGTCAGGGGTGGGGGCATTGGGTGGGAAGGCTGCAGGGTTATGCCCTGCTGGCATGTTTCCTGCAAGGAATGACAGCCTTCCAGGTCATGTGGCCAGCGTGACTAAACCGCTTCTGGTGCAACAGAATACCATGATGGAAGCCAGAGCGCACAGAAACGCCATTTGGTACCTTCCCGCTGCAGTGGTACCTATTTATCTACTTGTACTGGTGTGGTTTTGAACTGCCAGGTTGGCAGAAGCTGGGACAGAGCAACGGGAGCTCACCCCATCATGGGGATTTGAACAGCCGACCTTCTGTGCCCAAGAGGCTCAGTGGTTTAGACCACAGTGCCACCCACACACCTAGCAGAACTGAACCCTCCTGCTCAGGGCTGGATCCAGGGCTGGTTCCTGAGTTTCCTGGGTTGGCCCAGGGCAGCTTGGAGTGGAAGACTCCACTAAGCACTTCTATGCTCCATTTATTTCAGTGGGAGAGTTAACAATGCCCCTGTTGTGAAGTTCTGGCTTCACACTGTCAGTCATTGTTAATATTGTCAATGCTTATTAAAATACAGATGTTCATTAAAATGTAGTTAAGGAGGCCACTGGTTGTTCCCTGCTGTGCTGGTTGTCTGGGTGTTCCCTGCGATGCATAACAGAGGTCACTGCTGCAGACAGCCTCCATGAGGGACATCTTCTTCACCATGAAGATGACGAGATTCCTGCATCGAAGGGGGTTGGACTAGATGGCCCTTGGAGATCCCTTCCAACTGTGCAGTTTTGTGCGTCTTTAAAACGCTCTGTTCTATATCTCCAACACAGGGTTTGTGGACCTCCAGATACTGTTGGGCTCCAATTCCCATCAGCCCCAGTCAGCCTGGCAAGTGGTCTAAGATGATGGGATTTGTCGTCCAGAAACATCTGAAGGCTCCCAGTTTAGCTCTAATGGCGCTGACATTGCACAGGCTCTCCATATGCTACTATAACCCTAAATCCTGCTGAAACCAAAGGTACCAAAATGGATAGCGATGTGCTTAATGGTGCAATGCGCTCTATGTGGGGCTACCTTTGAAGGTGACCCGGAAACTACAACTAATCCAGAATGCGGCAGCTAGACTGGTGACTGGGAGCGGTCGCCTAGACCACATAACACCAGTCTTGAAAGACCTACACTGGCTCCCAGTACGTTTCCGAACACAATTTAAAGTGTTGGTACTGACCTTGAAAGCCCTAAACGGCCTCGGCCCAGTAGACCTGAAGGAATGTCTCCACCCCCATTGTTCCGCCTGGACACTGAGGTCCAGTGCCAAGGGCTTTCTGGCGGTTCCCTCGCTGCAAGAAGCCAAGTTACAGGGAACCAGGCAGAGGGCCTTCAAGGTGGTGGTGCCCGCCCTGTGGAACGCCCTCCCACCAGATGTCAAAGCGATAAATAACTATTTTACTTTTAAAAGACAACTGAAGGCAGCCCTGTTTAGGGAAGTTTTTAATGTCTGATGCTGTATTGTTTTTAATATTCAGTTGGAAGCTGCCCAGAGTGGCTGGAGAAACCATAAAAAAACTATCTGATGTTCAGAAGACATCTGAAGGCAGCCCTGTTTAGGGAAGTTTTTAATGTGTGACATTTTAATGTATTTTTAATCTTTGTTGGAAGCCACCCAGAGTGGCTGGGAAGACCCAGCCAGATGGGCGGGGTACAAATAATAAATAATAATAATTATTATTGTTGTTGTTGTTGTTGTTGTTGTTGTTGTTATATCCTATACAAGAAGTCCTACATGGTGCAGTGGCTGGAGTCACTGCCAAGTAAGAAGACCTAAGATCTCATTTGCTGCCTTGGGACTAATTTCCACTGAATTCAGGGCAACTTGCTGCTGTTTTTGTTGCTGCTGTTGTTTGCTGGATTGCACCCAACCAGTTCTCTGCTTTTCCAGTCGTGACTGAGCAGGGGGGGGGGGTGTTAACTGGAAACATAAGCTTTTCTAATTTCTCTTTCCCTGAAGAGGAAGGGTATATTCCTAAAATTCTTCTGAAAGGTCAGAACTCGTTCAGTCTTGTGGAATGTTGATCCTATCACCCATCCTGAGTGTTCTAACAAACATGAACTTTACTCCACGAATTCTTATTCCATTGAATGATTTGGCTTGTTGGTATTTCGAAAGGCGGATTTGCAGTGGCCAAGTGGCTTACGCAGGAGTAGCACACTGGTATATATGCCAAGAGTGTGCATGATATTTGTCTAGTTTATTGTTCTTTTCAAAATATGCCTAGGCCTCTTTTTCTGCTAACCGGTGTTCAAATAGTCACCCTCTTGAATGATTTGGTGACAGGATGAGTAGAGTGGGAAACCTGGTTTCAAATCTCTACTCAGCCAAGATTTAGGACCACGGGTGACCTTAGGTCAGTCACCAGTTCTGGATTGTATCTAGAGTTGCTGTTCCACTCCTGCAACAGACTTCGGCTTGTGCTGTGGAAGTACCCTCTCTGCTCACCTGCAGAGCAGATTTGGGGGGCATGCAAGGAATGGAAAGGGAAATCCTGTTGCATGTGTGGAACTCTGCTTCCACCATGTTTGAATATAACCCTCTCTGTGATGCCCACATCACATGTTGCCGTGAAGATAAAACAGAAGGAGGACCATGTACCTCACCTTCTGCTCTGAAGAGGAAAGGTAATAACCAAATCTCTGAAGTTGGCCACCTTGACCAGGACTGGCTCCATGTTTCTGGGGACCCTTGGGCACAGGATATCAACTGCCCCTTGGTCCCCCCCTTTTCCTCCTCAAACCACAGGCCTCCCTCTTGACCCCACCCATTTAAACTAAAACAAATTATGACAAATATGGCACAAGAAAACAGAAACTTTACTATTTTGCTTGTTGCCTTTTGAATTTTTTGTCAACTGTAGAATTTGAAGGTAAACACAAGGAGCACATACAAACTTCTCTCTCTCTCTCTCTCTCTCTCTCTCTCTCTCTCTCTCCCTCCCACACACACACACACCCCTGCACTTCTTCTCTCTTTCCCTTTCTCTCTTTCATACACATAGACCACACGCCTACCTTACTTCGCAAGGTTAGCAAATGTTCCAATTTGAGAATGGAATTTCTTGTGGGATTTAAACCCCCTAAACTGATGGCGATCCAAGTGTTGACCCTTGTCTCCTTTCATGCGATTATTAATTATGCGGTACCTGCAAAAGCCTCGGGAGAAAATGGTCTTCCGCAATGCTGAGCCGGATATGCAGAAGTTCCAGGATAGACGAAGATTGGCAAACGCGCATCACAAGCCCAATGGAATAGAAAGTATCTGCAACCGAATCTTCACCCCACGGAAAGCAAGAGAAAACACTGGATTATCATTCTATTGCAGCCTCTTCATATTGGGCTCTCCCACTCCCACTCATCTTTAAGAGATCAGGGAATTAAAACAGCCGCTGTTTCCTGGCACTAACTGTTTTCAGTGGAATGGTACATTTTGCCAGAAGACACTGCCATCTTGACTGTGAGTCCTGGAGGACCTGTTCCCTGACTTGCAGATCTTTTTCCACCTGGACGGTAGGACCTGACTGACTCCAGCTACAAAGGCTAAGGCTGCTGAACAGACTCTTGGGCTGGGAGAGTGTTGTTTCTGTCATTGATATTAATTTTTATATCTTTATTTTGGATCTTATTGTGATTTATGTGGACAATGCAGTTGTCTACATTTCCATGTTTTATTTATTGTCATGATTACTTGTATTATGTTTGTGCTTATGTATATTTTTTCATGTTGTAAGCAGCATTGAGCATGATTTTGGCAATGGAAAGGCAACGTACATGTGTTGCATACAATAAAATGTTGCATGTGTGCATTCTGAACATGCTCCAACCACAACTGAGTGGCACAGTTACTATTTATAACAAAGAACATTGTGCAAGATCTTTTGCAAACTTTCTGAAGGGAAATGGGCTGTATTTAGGCAGTGACCCTTGTTTCCATGGAACAGCATTTGGGCGTTTTAATTTGCAAAAGGTGCAGAAAATTAGCACAGAGACAACCTAGGATCAGCGTTGCCTTATGTGTTTTGACTAAATCTCCAGACAATTCTAGACCAAAGACTAGACTCAAATAAATGTTCCCTTTGGATTTGCAAACTCTTTCTTTCTCCTGATGTCTTTCTTGTTTGGTAAACATCAGGTCACCGCTATGAAGACAGCATGTTTTGCGGAAACATGTGTAGATATGTGTGAGATCACATGTGGTCCAAGTAATGAGGTTGATTTCACCCGTCTCTTTTTCTTATAAAGTTTTGTTAAGACTTTCTCCAATACAATAAAGAACAAACTAAACTAAACCGAAAATAATAAAAAAGAAAGAAGAAAATAAAAGAGAGAGAAGAATACAGCCTGTCTTCAGAGACACCACTAATTATCTTCTCCTACTCCATGCCCCTACAGGGGACATGGGTAGTGCTGTGGTCTAAACCACAGAGCCTAGGGCTTGCCGATCAGAAGGTCGGCGGTTCAAATCCCCGCGATGGAGTGAGCTCCCATTGCTCGGTCTCTGCTCCTGCCAACCTAGCAGTTCAAAAGCACGTCCAAGTGCAAGTAGATAAATAGGTACCGCTCTGGCGGGAAGGTAAACGGCGTTTCCATGCACTGCTCTGGTTCGCCAGAAGCGGCTTAGTCATGCTGGCCACATGACCCGGAAGCTGTACGCCGGCTCCCTTGGCCAATAAAACGAGATGAGCGCCGCAACCCCAGAGTTGTCTGCGACTGGACGTAACTGTCAGGGGTCCCTTTACCTTTTAAGAGGAAGAGGCAAGAAGGAAGGCCCCCGCCCCCAGCCACGCAGCAGTTTAAATAGCATAGGGGAGAGTCAAGCATCTTCATATAACATCATTGGGGATAGCTCAGTCGGTAGACCATTAGACCCTAAATCTCAGGGTTGTAGGTTGTGGGTTCAAGCCCCACGTTGGGCAAAAGATTCCTGCATTGCAGGGAGTTGGACTAGATGACCCTCGTGGTCATTTTACAGTTCTATGATTCTATGAAATATCTAAACTTTTATCTTTTTCAATGCAGCTGAAGACTGCTTATGTCTATAGCATACTGCACAATGTCTTTAGATCATTAATTTCCACATTTCACAGAAGGGAACTGAAAGCTGACAGGCCTTGGCTTTTCTCAAGCCATTGGTGGATTCGAACCCAGCCCTCTAGCACTAGTCCTTCACTGTGGTTCCAGTCCACCTCACGTTTGTGCAGAAGAAATCCCATTTGTGGCCCATGTGTGTTGCTGCTGGCTACTCTCTCAGTCAGACCCCATTTCCATGGAGAGGCTGCTATTCGATCGATCAAATGGCAAAAGAGCATAGACTTACCTTCCCCAAAAATCAGGAACCTGATGATCATATTGATAAATATCCAGGAATGTCCGCAGAACTGGATTAAATAATAGCAGAAGATGTAGGGGTTCATTGTGCAGCTGTAAAAGCGAGAACAGGGAATTCAAATATCAAAGCCTAACCGGAATGACAGGTAAAAAGGTAAAGGGACCCCTGACCATTAGGTCCAGTCGTGACTGACTCTGGGGTTGCGGCGCTCATCTCGCTTTATTGGCCGAGGAAGCAGGCGTACAACTTCCGGGTCATGTGGCCAGCATGACTAAGCCGCTTCTGGCAAACCAGAGCAGCGCAGGGAAACGCCGTTTACCTTCCCACCGGAGCAGTACCTATTTATCTACTTGCACTTTGACGTGCTTTCGAACTGCTAGGTGGGCAGGAGCAGGGACCGAACAACGGGAGCTCACCCCATCGCGGGGATTCAAACTGCCGACCTTCTGACTGGCAAGTCCTAGGCTCTGTGTTTTAACCAACAGCGCCACCCACGTCCCTGGAATGACAGGAGCAATGGGCATTTTGCTACTAGAACATATTTAGAGCTCTCTGTTGGCCAGACAAGATACACCTAGGAAGAAGATAGAAAAGGGATCGCATTGTTGGGATCGCATATCAGAACCTTGGAGCAATCTCTGTAAAAGGGAATCGAGCACGGATGGGACCAACTCTGCTTTGTTCAACTACCCTTTGCTTGGTGGCCATGATCCAGAGAGCCTTGCATGCAGAGTGATCCCCTTGCCTGCTCCTCATCACAGAGGGAGGCAGGTGAGCGCAAGAGGATGCCACTCGTTTTCTACTACTCTGTGCCCTTGAATGCAAGAGCACCCATGAATGCAAGCCACCAAAGGCCACTTTATTGCCACTGGTGCACTCTGTGGAACTGAGCCGGCCAAAACAGCAGTGTTATCACTGCCCTTCATATGTGGGCCTTTTCCCGTCATGGTGGTGGGAGCAGCACACAAAACAAACCTAAAAATGACTGCACAAAGCTTCCCATTCGGTCATTACAGTGGTACCTCGGGTTAAGAACTTAATTCGCTCTGGAGGTCTGTTCTTAATCTGAAACTGTTCTTAACCTGAAGCACCACTTTAGCTTACGGGGCCTCCTGCTGCCGCCGCGCCACCAGAGCACAATTTCTGTTCTCATCCTGAAGCAAAGTTCTTAACCTGAGGTGCTATTTCTGGGTTAGCGGAGTCTGTAACCTGAAGCGTCTGTAACCCAAGATACCACTGTATAGGCCAATGAAAATTGCATTTAATGTTTCAGTTTTCACCAGGTGGAGGCAAAGCAATAAGGGGGAGGGCAAGATTTGCTGCCAACTTCAAAGGTCTGCCCCCAGATATAGTCAAGATTAAACAACATTTTAAGAGGCTTCTTGCCATTATTTTCTTTTTATGCTCCATGACAGAACAACATTATAAACAGTGTCAAACAGTCATTTTCTATTTCCCCTCTTTAAGCAAAGAGATTTGCTTGGCATGGTTTCTACTTTTTATCATTATATTCATTGCAAATATTTATATACTATTTGATGCCAAGACAGTATATAAGTGATTTAACAAAACCAACAAACATGACAGAAAGATGGAGATAAAATATGATATGACATGATAATGTGAGATACATCTATATTGATATGCATCAATGAAACTGAAAAACTGCAATACCAAATAAATCAATAGAAATCTCCCCAAAGCCAAAACAAGGCAATGCCAAGCGAACTAACTGAGGTTGACCTGTTTGTTGAATTTGCTATGGCATTTTCTTTCTTTCTTTTGAATAAATTGTATTAGATTTTATAAAGAGAGATACAAAGATTATCTTTTTTTATCCAAACCAAGATGTTTATCTAGGTAAAATAAAAATATAGATCCAGAGGAAAAGAGGGGGAAGAAAGAAAGAAAGAAAGAAAGAAAACTCATCCACTCCAATATAACACCCAGCCCGACTACTTTCAATATGTTTGCAACAGGAGCAGGAAATTTGATTTTAAGAAATTGTATTAAGTTAAAGTAACTTGGTTGGATTTGTAATAATTAGGAAAATTGGGGAAATTAATAAAAATAATAAGAAAGAAAGAAAGAAAACTTCCAAGTCTTCGTCTGACAGCTATATAAACATCATTCAACTCACCCACTCCAATATAACACCCAACATGACTACTTTCAATAAACCAACAATATCTTCAGGAGTTTGTTATGGCATTTTCAAGTGGCTTCACTTACTTTCTGATAAGAACATAAGATGGTCAGTGATGGGTCGGGTCAGTGGCCCGTCTGCCCCAGTGTCCTGTTCTCACAGTGGTCAACCAGATGGTCATGGGAAGTGCTCAAGCAAGACCAGAGGAAACAGCACTTGCGTTTCCCAGCAACTGGAGTTTGGAGGTTGATTGCCTCCGATAGTGGAAGCCGTTCTACGTACAGCCAAAGAACTTACAAAGGGGTCTTAACACATCTCTCATGGCAAAGAAAATGACCTCGTGGTTTCTCTGCAGCACACTAAAGGTAAAAGGTCAAGGACCCCTGGACAGTTAAGTCCAGTCAAAGGCAACTATGGAGTTGCAGCGCTCATCTCGCTTTCAGGCCGAGGGAGCCAGAGTTTGTCCACAGACAGCTTTCCGGGTCATGTGGCCAACATGACTAAACCGCTTCTGGTGCAATGGGACATATTGACGGAAACCAGAGCTCACGGAAACGCCGTTTACATTCCTGCCACAGCAGTACCTATTTATCTACTTGCACTGGCATGCTTTCGAACTGCTAGGTTGGCAGGAGCTGGGACAGAGTGTCAGGTGTGCGTGCAGGAGCCAGGCCCTGTGACCAGTAGGACTTCGCAGGACTGGGGCCTTCCTAAGTTTGTTCTGAAGATGCAAGGTGCAGCCGCACAGGTGAGGCCGATTGGTAACTCACAGCACCTGGTGGCAAGAGCCGGGAAGGGATATAAGTTCAGCATTTCCCTTTGGCTCTTTGCCACAGCAGCACGCTTCCTGCCTTGCTGCGTTTGGCTTATTGCTTCCTGATCCTCGGACCTTGGCTTCTTGACTCTTGCTTCTTGATCCTTGGGCCCTTGACTTTGTGACTCCCTGCTTCTTGATCCTTGGGCCCTGGACTTTGTGACTCCTTGTTTCTTGATCCTTGGACCCTTGACTTTGTGACTCCTTGCTTCTTGATCCTTGGACCCTTGACTTTGTGACTCCTTCCTTCCTGACCCTTGGACTCTTGGCTTCCGGACTCCTGGCTTCTGGACCCCTGTTCCTGCTCCCACCCCGCCATCTTGCCCCCGGTCCTGATGTCCCCTGCCGGGTCTTCGATCGCCCGTGAACCGGACCATGACACAGAGCAATGGGAACTCACCCTGTCACGGGGATTTGAACTGCCGACCTTCTGATCGGCAAGCCCAAGAGGCTCAGTGGTTTAGACCACAGTGTACCATTGGCTTAAGAAAGATGCACAAGGACTTCTGACAATTGTAAGATACCACACCAAGGCTCTTCATAATCTGGGATAGTAGACAGTTCCCAACGGTCTGAGACATGTTGCTACCCAAAGCAGGAAACTGCCTCGTTCCCTCCTACATAGGACCAATACTTTGAAAAGTCTTGCTGCCCCATTTAGATATCTATTCATGCTTTTATCTATGGCCTCATCCCCACTTTATGGTGCCCTCTGAAGCAGCTTCCTTCACTTTGCCTCCTGGTGGGCAGAGCTGGTTCCAAGTGGAGACTTCTCTGAGGTCCTCTCTTTCAGACTAACTCACCTCCCATGGTGGTTGCAAGGATAAAACAGGGCTTTGCCCACATGTCCTGGCCTGAGCTTATAGTTGGATGCGTTGCACCCCACAGGAGATCTCAACACCTCCACCAGAAAGCAGCGCTTGCTGTCCTCCTGAGCCCCTGAGATCAGGTTCCTCAGTCCTTTTCCTTGATCTCGGTGCCAAAATGCCGATGAAGCAACTCTCCACCGAAACCAGAAAAGAGGAACTTCCCTTTCTGTTCAAGGCGAGCTTATTGGAATGAAAGCCTCTGTCCGGTACATTGGGCAGCCTCTGCCTTCCCCACGGCAGGAAGAGGACGCTGAGGAAATTCCTGCCTAGACAACAGCTGGCTCCCAGCATGTCATTGCTTCTACCATCCTGGTCTTACCTTGGTTCAGTTGCCCCTGCTCCAGCTGCTCAAGCGAGCCGAGATCTTCTGAGCTGTCTGTGTGTGTTCCTCTTCCTCACAGCTGCAACAGCTGGGCTGAGCCCAGAGAGATCTCCCCTCCTCTTTGCCTTCCCTTCTTCACCACGTCAGGCCAGCATTGCAACACACACACACACACAGCGATACTTTCTGAAACAGCCAAGTTCAGCAGCGAAAAAGGTTTGTCCTGTTCCAAAAGACACGTTCCAGAGTTGCCAGGAAGTTGCTGATAATGATGGAATTCAAGAGTCCTTTGTGGAGATACGTCCCTGGAATTGTGGAAATCTGCCCAACAGGCTGCTTAGAAGTCAGGGCTGGTCTTTGGCATTCCCTTTCCATTCTGCTCACCTTTTAAGTACCTTGGGTTTTCCTTTCATTTTAAACTGCGCTTGGAGCCCAGTTCACAATTTGCATATGTGACGTCCCTGTCGTTTAAGCTACAGTGGTGCCCCGCAAGACGAATGCCTCGCAAGATGAAAAACTCGCTATACGAAAGTGTTTTGCGTTTTTTGAGTCGTTCCGCAAGACGAATTTCCCTATGGGCTTGCTTCGCAAGACAAAACGTCTTGCGAGTTCTTGCGAGTTTGTTTCCTTTTTCTTAAAGCCGCTAAGCCGTTAATAGCCGCTAAGCCGCTAAGCCGCTAATAGCTGTGCTTCGCAAGACGAAAAAACCGCAAGACGAAGAGACTCGCGAAACGGATTAATTTCGTCTTGCGAGGCACCACTGTATTTCAAATTTTAAAAATAATGTGCATGCCTCAGACACATATCATGCCCTCCCACATTTCTCCGATGAAAATAGGGAGTCCTATTTAAGAATAATAATAATAATAATAATAATTTTACCCCACCCATCTGACTGGGTTGCCCCAGTCACTTTAGGCAGCTTCCAACGTATATACAAACATAATTAAACATTTAAAAAACTTCCCTATACAGGGCTGCCTTCAGATGTCTTCTAAAAGTTGTGTAGTTACTTATCTCCTTGGCTTGGGACGGCGGTCACATAACTCCATACCCTCCAACATTTCTCTGATTAAAACAGGGACATCCTGTTCCAGGATCAACTCAGAAACCAGGATGGCATCTGTAAATCTGGGACTGTCCTTGGAAAATAGGGACTCTTGAAAGGTCTGGCATATATTAATGCAGCACCAGAGTACAGGATCATGTCACCACTTTTACAAGTGAAAATGAACTCCTTGTGCTATTTGTCTCAGCTGTTGTATGGCTGCTCCTTGGGAGGACTTTGGTGTAGCCCTCCAAGCCTAATACCCCATGCGATCCCCTCAAATGCCTGCCCCAAACCCAGACTGAAAAGGCAGCAAATCGTTAATGTTCTTGTATTTTTACTACTATGATGAGACGGCAAAGCAGACATGAGTTGTTGTTGTTGTTGTCGTTATTATTATTGCTTTTTTGTAGCTGGGATTCACCTGAACTCATTTCTGGCACATCTCAGGTGGGCGCCATCGCCATTTTAAGAGAATGAGGGAGGGATCCATTGTGAGTTCCAGCACCTCTTATTGTAGAACAATAGTACTTCTTCTCCTTCTCCTTCTCCTTCTCCTTCTCCTTCTCCTTCTCCTTCTCCTTCTCCTTCTCCTTCTTCACCTTCACCTTCACCTTCACCTTCACCTTCCTCCTCCTCCTCCTCCTCCTCCTCCTCTTCTTCTTCTTCTTCTTCTTCTTCTTCTTCTTCTTCTTCTTTATTAGATTTATATATTGCCCTTCATCATAAGATCTCAGGATAAAAACAAGTAAATACCATAAAGGGACCCCTGACCATTAGGTCCAGTTGTGGCCAACTCTGGGGTTGCGGCGCTCATCTCGCTTTATTGGCCGAGGGAGCTGGCGTACAGCTTACGGGTCATGTGGCCAGCATGACTAAGCCACTTCTGGCAAACCTGAGCAGTGCACGGAAACGCCGTTTACCTTCCTGCCAGAGTGGTACCTATTTATCTACTTGCACTTGACATGTTTTCGAAATGCTAGGTTGGCAGAAGCAGGGACCGAGCAATTGGAGCTCACCCTGTCATGGGGATTCGAACCGCTGATCTTCTGATCGGCAAGTCCTAGGCTCTGTGGCTTAACCCACAGTGCCACCCGCGTCCCAGTAAATACCATGTTGTTGTTGTTGTTTAGTCGTTTAGTCGTTTAGTCGTGTCCGACTCTTCGTGACCCCATGGACCAGAGCATGCCAGGCACTTCTGTCTTCCACTGCCTCCCGCAGTTTGGCCAAACTCATGCTGGTAGCTTCGAGAACTCTATCCAACCATCTCATCCTCTGTCTTATCCTATTTTTAGCTGTTTATTGTCTCCCTTGTAAACTGCTTAGAGACAGTTGTAATTAAGCAATTGTTTACATAAATAATTTGCTTTCTATGTGCCAGTTGAGCTCATTTCCACCAGCAAGCATACCGCTGTCCTGTGTCGGCTATTGGCGAGGACAGTAAATAGCTATTATTGTGTCCACTTGACAATTGCTTGGACTGGAGAATTGAGAAGATGTGCTCTCTTTTTGTGTGTGTGTAATTGGAAGAACGTTGTGAGCGCTTAGGTTCCATTCAACTCAACAGCTGGATGCCCACTGGTGTCTCCAGGTCTCCTATCTTCAAGAAGGAACTCTCTTGGTGAGTGCCAACAGGTTGTTGTTGTTTAGTCATTTAGTCATGTCTGACTCTTCGTGACCCCATGGACCAGAGCACGCCAGGCACTCCTGTCTTCCACTGCCTCCCACAGTTTGGTCAAAACTCATGCTGGTAGCTTCGAGAACACTATCCAACCATCTCGTCCTCTGTCGTCCTCTTCTCCTTGTGCCCTCCATCTTTCCCAACATCAGGGTCTTTTCCAGGGAGTCTTCTCATGAGGTGGCCAAAGTATTGGAGCCTCAGCTTCACGATCTGTTCTTCCAGTGAGCCCTCAGGGCTGATTTCCTTCAGAATGGAGAGGTTTGATCTTATTGCAGTCCATGGGACTCTCAAGAGTCTCCTCCAGCACCATAATTCAAAAGCATCAATTCTTCGGTGAACAGCCTTCTGAGTGCCAACCGGACTGTAGCGCAAACAGGGCCACTGAAAAACAAGAAATGCAAGGAGAGTTTTTGGGGGAGATCCCTCAGTGGGCATTCCCCCTCCAGTGCTGCAAAGCACACCAGGGGATTCTGGACAGGCTCAGTGACCGCAGAATGTGGCGTGTCTGTCTGGGGTGGGGGAAAGAGACTAGAAAATTGGTAATGGGCAGTAGAATTGAATAGCCTGGCACAGACCATGGCTAGCTGGCTTGAACCCTGAACAGCAGCATCCCACACAACCACATTCTGTTACAGTTCCCACTTGTCCTTTCAAATTTGTTCATGCTAGGATACAAATTTTCAGCAAGAGCAGCTGTAGTCTCATGTTGCCCTCTAGCGTCCTGTACAGGAACACAGTGGAATATTGTAGAAAATTGCAAGCAAGATCTACAACCCATTGGGAAAGGACTTCTTTAGCACCGAAAATAACTTTCCTAGAAGTGAAGCAATAAAAAAAACAAAAACATCAAAGAAACCCTACCATTTGACTAACAATAACTGTTTTAATTGACTGCATGTTCTAGCGATAGAGCATGAAGACTGTTTCACTCTCGTTTTCGGAGATTGCATCTCTTACTATAGACTTGTAACAACACTGGATCAGTGTGGCCTTCCTTCCATAAACGCAGGAGCAAAGCTTCAAGGTTTTGCCCATCCCCAAGTGCAGCCTTGGCAGCAAATGCTGATCCTAGTAAGCTAGTTCATTTCTGCTCATTTGGGGACATTGGTATATCTCCCAATTGAAGTAAGAAGCTTTGGTGGTCTACACCAGGAGTGGGGAACCTCCAGATTCTGCTGAAGCCCATCTCCCATCATCCTGACCATTGGTTAAACTGACCATTGGAGTCCAACAGGATAGGGAGGGCCAGAAGTTCCCCACCTTTGAGCTTCTTGTTGTTGTTTAGTCGTTTAGTCGTGTCCGACTCTTCGTGATCCCATGGACCAGAGCACGGCAGGCACTTCTATCTTCCATTGCCTCCTGCAGTTTGGTCAAACTCATGCTGGTAGCTTCGAGAACACTATCCAACCATCTCGTCCTCTGTCGTCCCCTTCTCCTGTGCCCCCCATCTTTCCCAACATCAGGCTTTTTTCCAGGGAGTCTTCTCTTCTCATGAGGTGGCCAGAGTATTGGAGCCTCAGCTTCACAATCTGTCCTTCCAGTGAGCACTCAGGGCTGATTTCCTTAAGAATGGGTAAGTTTGATTTTCTTGCAGTCCATGGGACTCTCAAGAGTCTCCCCCAGCACCAGAATTCAAAAGCATCAATTCTTCAGCGATCAGCCTTCTTTATGGTCCAGCTTTCACTTCCACCTTTGAGCTACACTGTCTATATTAGTCCGTAGAGGTCTGATCCACACATGATTGCTTGCATCTATCAAGGGCCCTTTATGGATAATATCTGAATAGCCTCTGTCCATAGGTGCTGATTCCTAGGGCCTGAAGGGACTAAATATATTAGGGTGCCACCTCCTCCCAAGTTAATGGGCATTGCCATTCAAATGGTGTTTGTGTACCGCCTCTTGTGATCAATTATGTGGGGTAAGGCTTACCTGGGGGCCTCCCCAGTATTTTATTCAAGTTGTCATCTCTGCTTCTGTTATTTCAACTGCATACAGTCATGACAGTGGCATGTGGAAGATGAAGAGACCCTCCAAGTGTTCCTATTTTCCAGGGACAGTCCCAGATTTACAGAAGCAGTGATTTGATTCCGGAATGTCCTGGTTTTTCATAGGATGTCCCTATTTTCATTGGAGAAATCTTGGACAGTATGGAGTTATGCAACCCCCAAGCCAAGGAGATAAGTAACTAGACAAGCTTTAGAAGACATCTGAAGGCAGCCCTGGATAGGGAAGTAGTTTAGTCACTCTGGGTGACTAAAGGAAGGAAGGAAGGAAGGAAGGAAGGAAGGAAGGAAGATGTAGCCTGCTTGTCAATAAAATATTTCTGAGACTGGGAAGAGTATAACCAATAAAATAATAATAAGGCAACAAAACTAGAAAGAAGGGTCAGGTGAACTATCAAAGAACAATTTCCGATGAGAGAAAATCATCAATTGCAGTTCTCTCTAGAGCACCCAGAAGCTACAAAATTCAACCAGGGGGAAATTGGGATTCCATTTCATAGGAAAACATTTAT